TTTTCTAGTCAAATGACGGGACATTTTGTGGCAGGACATTGAACAGTAGAGGCAGAAGTGTCTCTTGCTGTAAACTCGCCCCCCATTTTTCTTCTTTTGCAGCTGCATGATAACAATCTTATTTGCCTTTGGTTCGTCACTTTCCGAGTCTTGAAGAAAAGTGTTTTTGATTTTTCTTTTTCCATACTTTTTTACAGGTTTCTTCTTGACAGTTAAATCGTCAGAATCTGAGTCGACTTCATCAATTAGGGACTCTTGACTAAGCTGCACAAACAACAAATAATTTGTAATCATTCTATATAACAATTTGAAGTCATGACTTGTAGTCAGCACTTACCAGTGGTTTGTAAGCGTGCGCTTCAGTGTGCTCCTCCATGATTTCTTGCAGCCTAATGAACCACACACTTGCACCTTTTTCTAGCCTGACACCTGATTTCCTCTGTTGTGCTGCTCCATGATTGGCTCCAGCCTCTGTTGTGCTGCTCCATGATTGGCTCCAGCCTCTGTTGTGCTGCCATACTTGAAGCTTCTCGACCGCGCGTACAAGTGAAGCCGGGTGCTTTGCGCGGCTTCACCACTGACTGGCGCTTCACACCATTCGCACACTTTCCAATGGCATGAACTACTACGCTTTTTGACGCGAAGTATATGTCCGTGTGAACGCCCCTATACTGCTCCTCATTTAATGATGCTTTCTCTTGTCTTTTGATTGCAGTTTTCTGATCATCATAATGCATTCTCTGTGATTCTGAAATCTGCCTTGCATACTAGTCTATTGGAACCAGATTCGATCAGGTCAACGTTCATCCCGTCACGTGATAGGTGAACGTGCAGACATTACGGACGTGTGAAGTAATTGGAACTCAATTTTCATTTGTTGGCTCGCATATGAGCTTTAAGAAACAGGACTACAACAATCATTAAAAAACTGTTAGCGTTCTCTCTCTCTAAATCGGATAAGTTGTGGCATCGACATTCAACAGCAAGTTCCGACTGATACGTATCAGGACGATAGGACATTGGTGCAGGGGGGGGGGGCTTCCACAATGGTGGGGGGTGTTGTGGTGGTGGGGGGGTGGGTGTGGTAGAGTTGTGGGGGGGGAGGGGGAGGGGGGGGGGGTGGGTGGGGGTTGCACTAACTGGATAGTTAGCACTATGACAACTACATCCGTTACCTTCTACACACACCCAGTCAATGCTTGTCGATGTCTAAATAGAGAGATCGTACTATCTGTATAATCCCAAATTCAACCACTACATTGAAGCATTTATCATTATCGATTGATCCAACTGAGCTGGGGTGCAATAAAATCCGAACGCTACCTCAAGCTCGACGACCAGATTTCATATGTACATTATTGCATGGAGAGCATTAGCAATATTTTCCACCTTATTACGAGTGTTCTTAGATTCGTGGCTCTCATCTCAAAGTTTCAGGTTTTTTTCAAAACGTTTGAATTTGCACAAAAATCTGTTTGCCCTCTGTCAAAAGGGAGTAAGGGACTTATTTTTTACCCTTTGGCCAAAAACGGAAACAAGGTAAAAATAAGCCTTGACCTATTGACTTTTTGAATCAAGAGGGCAAAACAGATTTTTGTGCAAAATTTCAAACGTTTTGAAAAAACTAAATTCTGAAAATGCCATCTAAAACTTGAAATAGTCTGTAGGGGGCGCTATTGTGTCAATTTGAATCATATTAACTTTCAAAATGACCTAGACCGATAGAGTTGAACTAATGTATTAAAGTTTTGTGCTATAACAGAGTTTGTTTCGTGCAAACAGGAGCAAATTTAATGTTGTCAAAAACGGCCAAAAAAAAGGTCACATTTTTGCCGCTCTGAGCTGCTCGAACAATGTTTCACTGATCAAAAAATCCCCAGGTCATTTTGAAGGTACATGTGTTTGAGATGAGTGGAGCAAATTTTGAGCGAATCGTTGAAACGGCCGGAGGAGGATCGCTTTCCAACCGAAGTATGAAACACTTTTGCTGTTCATTTGTCCATTTTGCAGTGAGAGATATGGGCTTCCTGTTTGTCAGAGGGCGGGGCCAAAATAATATTTTTTTCTTGGCTTGACGTGGGAACATTGTACCAACTTTCATTGCTCTACGACAAATCCTTGACCTCCGAAAAGTCCCATAGGGTATATTTTGGCTGTTGTAGGTGGCGCTGTCTGGCATTTTTTGAGTCCCATTATAAAAAACACCAAATATCAAATTTTTCACCCAGGTCTGATTTTTTGGCCAAAATTAACAACTTTTTTCATGCATGTTCAGGGGTCAAATTAAGGCCTCAAAGTGCAGAAGAAAAAAGAAAGAAAGAAAGGAAAGAAATTAAAGCCGCAAGCGGCGTCGAACGGCCCTCGCCGCCCGCGCACCCCCCAGCACCGCGCGCACCCCCGCCCCGCCCACACCACCCCGTGCCACGCCGCCCCGCACCAAGCCACCCTGCCCTACACCACTAGCATCCCGCATCACACAAAGCAGCAACGCGCGCTCCACAACGCCCCGCACTAGCTGCACCACACCGTACCACTCACACAGCGCAAAGGAGGTTGCACGCCGTGTGATGACTGTTCCCGTAGCCATAAAGAATGGTATCAAATTGAAATGATATGAAAGTAGAGCTGGTTTGGCTCCCCATGTAAACTTTGCTTCAGTCTTTAGGGGGCCAAAGGGGCCAATTTCAAAATATTGTCACTTTCACCTGAACCTAAACCCTGTAGTTAACAATGGATTCAAGTTGAATGCAAATCAGACTTTGTTTGTGCAGAACGGAAAAAAAATAATGTTGTCATAAACGGCCAAAAAACCCTCACTTTTGCCGCTCCCTGTCAAACATCGTTTCACGGATTAAAAATCCCTGAAGTAATTTTGAAGGTAAATGTGTTGAGATAATTTGGTCCGATTTTGAGGCAATCGGGAAACGCCGAGGAGGAGTCGCTTTCCAACCGACATTATAAAACGTTTGGTGTTCATTTTTCCATTTTGGCAGTGAAATTTATGGGCTTCCTGTTTGTCAAGGGATTAGCCATAATAACATTTTTTTCCTTGTCATGACTTGAGGCATGTGTAACAATTACATTGGTTCTACGGTAATTTTGACCTTGAACCCTTGGCCATAGGAATTTTTAAAATTGGCTGTTGTTGTGGCGCAATAGAGCCAATTTCAAAATTGAACTTTCAATTGGACCTAGAACCAAGAGTTGAACCATGGAGTCAAGTTTTGTGGCAAATCAACTTTGTTTGTGCAAACGAAGCATATTTTCTATTGTCAAAACAGAAAAAAAATACGCCACTTTTTGGCGGCTCCGCTGGCTCGAACCGACGTTTCACTGATCAAAATTCCCCTGAAGTCATTTTGATGGTACATATGTTGAATATGTGGAGCGTTTTGAGGCGAATCGTTGAAACGGCCGGAGCTGGTTTGATGTGTGTGTGAGGTGTACATTTGCAATGAATGGGGACGTTTCTCGTCCCACGGGCAACGGGTAACAAAAAAGCCTGTGGACCTGATTGACTTTTTGAATCAAAAGGGCAATACAGAATTTATGTGTCAAAATTCAAACATTTTGAAAAAATAAATTTGAAATGCCCTTCTAAAACTAGAAATAGTCCTGTAGGGGGCGGCTAAGAGTCAATTGGAATCATTTGTCTTACAAATGACCTAGACCCTAGAGCTGAACATTGTATTAAAGTTTTGTGCAATCAGACTTTGTTTGTGCAAACGGAGCAAATTTAATGTTGTCAAAAACGGCCAAAAAAATCACATATGCCGCTCCGCTGCTCCAAACAATGTTTCACTGATCAAAAATCCCTGAGTCATTTTGAAGGTAGACAAGTAAAATTTCATGTGTTGAATGAATGTGGTCCGATTTTGAGGCAAAACGTAAACGCCGAGGAGGAAGTCGCTTCCCAACCGACATGTATAAAACTTTTGCTGTTTCATTTTTCCATTTTGCAGTGAAATTTATGGGCTTCCTGTTTGTCAAGGGGCGGGGCCATAATAATATTTTTTTTCTTACTTGACTTGAGTAACATTGTACCAAATCTCATGTCTTCGAGAAAAAAAAAACTTGACCTCCTAAAGTCCCATAGGGGTATTATTTTGGCTGTTGTAGGTGGGCGCTGTTCTGTCATTTTTTGAGTCACATAAAAATAAACACCAAAATATCAAATTTTCGCCAGGTCTGATTTTTGTGGCCAAATTAACAATAGCAATAGTCCTACTCCATTGCATGATGCTTTTCTGTCTCCACGAAGCGTCAGATACACTGATACTAGTACAGTGCGGACGGTAGACGCGGAAATGATAGCAAGAAACAGCGCAAAACATGACTAGTACAAGCATACTAAAATAGTCATTGTATAGCAAGCATCTACATACATAGGCACATGATATAAGTAGACAAAACAACGTTTGATGAGCAGTGATATCTTATTATGACGCCCCTAGATCATAAATCGGAAATAAAATGAACATCAAACTACAGATAGATATGAGCTGTTATCATGCAAAAGAATGTGTTCACATGTGCATATGAGATGAGTACGAGCTACTTGCATGGGTCTAAACCAGTCCCGAGTTTGGGATGAGTGTAGCGCCATCGCGATCACCTGTCCTGCACGTCTTCATGAGATCGATGACAGCGGTGATCGCTGAGCATAAAAAAGTCGTTCCATTGTCCTAATGCCTGTTAGTCTATCTATCTACCGCAACAGCATTAAATGACACAGTCTTAGAGTTGTAAATTGCGCTATCAAAAAGGTTGTTTTGGTTCAGTGAGGCTCCCCGCAGGCTCGCAGTTTAGACTCTGCCGGTTTCGCTCATGGAGTAGTGGGCGGGCCGTGACGTCACATGCAAGGGGGTTCAATACTGGACGCTATCATTCAACCTAATCTTTAAACGCATGGAACAACCTATGCTCGGTCAAGAGTTTTCTGGTCTGGTTTGTCTCCCCAGGTTGATACCCCCGCACCGCCTTGACTAAAAGGTTTGGACATGGAGGGGGATGCGAGAGGGTGGGGGGGGGGGGGGGGGGGGGGGGGTTGGGGGGGGGGAGCCGGAGGCGGTGTGTTAGAACCAATTATCCCACAGAGCCACAATGTGACGACCACAAGGGGGGTCCCAGTACCGGCATCTAAGTGGTACATGAGGGAGAGGTGTTACTGCATTTTTCCTTTTGTGTGTGTTTTGTGTCAAAACAAATCATAAGTTTCTTAAACTTACACATGTCTTTGGATTTTTGCATTTCAATCATAAGGTTGATTCTGTCTCCTAAGGGGGGGGGGGGGGGGGGGGGGGGGGGGGGGGGGGGGGTAAAACACTTTAGGAGCAGAAGTTATATTTCAAGGTGTACTGTGTAATAGACTAGTACCAGAAATGAGGCCCCTTACAGGTCTCCTGTCTTCTAGGAGCGCGCGGGCTTGTGTTCTGAGAGCTATCCAGTCCATCTCGGCCATCAAATACAATCAAACAGGAGGAGAGCGTACTTTGGATAAAAGAGAGAGATGGCTTTTCGATGGATAAGAACTCAGAACCAGAGCAGGATAAACTGAAAGAAGGACTCTGGTACTAAGGATTATTACACATGGAAACATGCAAGTGAATCACTTAGACATACTTAAAGATGTTAAATTGTATTCTAACAGCTTATTGTAGTCATAGTTTAACTGCAAGAACGCCCCAAAGCTATTATGGCTTTAGAAATAAGAGGGGGGGGGGGGGGGTGCTGTGGTTTTGACACAACACACCAGAAATCTGGAATCAACTTGTCTAGATTGATAGCTAGCTCTCCTCCCGTCATTTCGCCGCACTGAATGCCCGTACTGGGACGCTCCGCTGTGGTACGTTCACGATGCTAGGCACTGTCGAATAATTGGTCTAACCACACTTTGGCTCTCTCTCACCCATTGCCGAGCTGACATGTCCAAACCTTTTTAGTAAGGGGGGTAACAACTGGGCCGACAACACAAACCAGAAACATGCATAGACGCTCCTTAACGCCACGAGATCGTGTGGTCTGACAAGCGTTTTGAAGCTTGAGGTTGACCGTAATTAGCAACTAGGTGCCAGTATAGCATGCCACCAAGATGACATAGTGAACTGAAAACAGATCAGCAGAAGGTGCACCCCACGCCCAAACGTCAGATAAACCATGTCACCAAACGGACAGAAGTCTATACAGCGAAAGGCGCTAACGTGACTTGCACTGAACATCATACTACACCTGTGTCTATATCGCAGGCAACCATTTAAAAACGAGGCTTAAACTGTGACATTCTTATAGAAGTGACAAGAGTTTGGGTGGTAGGATTTGTACATGAACAAAGCACAGAGGGGGGGGGGGGGGGGGCTGGTTAGCATGGGGTTATCGATTACCAACTTGCATTCGATAGGCACATGAGGAGCAGAGACCCCTACGACAAACTATCTTATCTTATCAATTTTTTTGCTATTAGAAAATAATAGCTTATTTATTAAAAGACTGACAATTTTTTTCAATGGTGTTATTATATATAAAAAAGAAAGAGGTTTGTCAATAACATGCTATCTCTGGCACTACAATACACAAAGAGGACTATGGGACCCTTCCAAGTACTCCATATTAATCAGCAGTGAACAATTTTTAGCAAATACATCGAGTCCAGCATGCAACAATAATTAGATATTCAAATTTTAATTCTATCGCTATTTAATTCAGGATTAGGAGATAGTGACAAAACGTCTACACGTCAAACGTCGTCATCTTATCTTACTCGCTCCACTGTATGTGCGCCACCTTGACATACATGATATCATCATTATATAAGTCGCATTCAATGCGATGATTTCACTAGATTGCTTTCCTTCAAGCCGATCATACGTAGAGCATGTTGAGCTGGGCGATGCCCAGAAAAGCCATACACAGGAGAGAGGGAAGAGGGGACGGAATTTGGGGGGGGGGGGCGGGAGATGTGTATGGGGGGGGGGGGGTGAAGGTGAGGCTACCGGCAAACAAAAATGTACAGATGAGAAACTCTGACTACCGGGAGGGGCAGGCGAGTGGGAGGGAATGAATTGTTAACGGAATAGATAAGAGTAAGAAGATGCATGATATGGGAATTTGGAGACATAAATGAGGACCATTTATTATAATCGATAAGCATCTAACACGGGGAAAGGATGAGGGTATACAGGAGATACAATCGATTCGCAGTAGAGGCAATGCACTTAAGGCTTCTCACTAAAGATAGTCCGAGACATCGTGTGTAGAGGCAAAGCACCTAGTGAGACGCTGCATGCTCACTAACGATCCCATATCGTTACTCGAACAATTAATGCTTAGAAATCATTGTTCCACCAGCCCTGCCGCTCGCCATCTCAGCACTTCTACGATTTAAGGAAAAAAAGCTACCGACATTTAAAAGAGTTGTAGTCCGTTTTGCTCTTGCAGCATACACTACTATTACACAATACAGTCACAGCCGCAAGCTCATTCACGACTCACGTGACTCCGGATGACGTTGATGCATCTGATCAATAACGGTATGGGCAGAATGGCATGTTATGAGACAGAATCAATCTAGCATCATAAACACAAATAAGCACCAGCAATTGGCGGTGAGCGAGCACCACCGAAAAGAAGCTTAACTTCGGACGACCCAAAAAGCGTCAGGTTTCCAATAATGAAAGTGAATGGATGAAGCGCAGATCAGGTGAAAAGACCGAAAGCCCCGACGAGCAACTTTGACGCGAACAAATTCAAAAGGACTTCAAGCGCGTTCGCGGCCGTACTGACGCGCTCACTTAAGATATGACTTATCGACGCGCGAACGCTCGAAGTATAACAACAATCATCTACTTTGAGCCCGAAAGCTGAAGCAACTGCGAGACTTCATGATCTGCTTATCTGACAGCGGAACTTCAGACTCATATAGCAGAGACTCGAGCAGTCAGTCAGCAGCTAGAAGTCCCTGTACAAATCTGTCCATGAAGAGACGTCTTTGCTGCAATAGACCTTGTATATTCATTGTCCACATAGATGATTATTAGTATTCACATAAGTTTGTATGCAGTAGTACGTTCTGAGTACAAAACGTCAGTGTACACTTCATGCTTAGTTAGAACGTAAAGACGCTAGATTCTAATTAAAGAGACAGAACTAGGACAGATCCGAGTAGGAGTCTGGCAGTCAGAGCACGGCACGCTTCCAGTGGCGAGTGCGAGTGCGATAGCCGTGGCGAGAGGCAGGGGAGGACACCAAGCTGTAAGACACAGGAGAGCAGGCTGAGCGAGTTAGCTCGGGGAAGGACAGCATGGAAGTGTGCCATAAAAAGGAGGCATTTGAGCAGGTACATTCGAGACGAGAGCGGTGAGGCAGTGGAGACTGGTCGAGTGAGTAGTAAGGTACTTCTTTTATACAAAGCAGGTCCGCTCGAAGGAGAGATTTGGCATTGTGAGAGGCCAGGGACAGACAAGAGCGAATCGAGAGGTCAGGAGATGATGGCAGTGCGAGGCAGAGGCAGAGGTAAGTGACGAGGGCAGCGTGAGATGAGTCAGGTGAGAGGCAGATAGAGGCAGGCAGGGATCATATATATATATATACAGCGGGAGCAGCGGAGGAGGCATAGAATGGTCAATTAATGGAGGGTGAGAGGTCATTATCTCACAAAGTCAGTGAGAGGCAGTTTGGGAAGGCAGGGAGAGGCAGGGGGAGCAGGGAGACTAGGAGACGGAGGTGAAGCTAGGCAGGGATGAGCGTCGAGTGCAATGATGTACAGGGTCAGAGGTTCACTGGGGGATGATCAATGTGCAGGGCAATTGTAAATAGTCATGTGAGAGGCAGAGAGGCCCGGGAGAGGCAGTAGCAGTATGCAGGGAGACAATGCTGGAGTCGAGAAGGGCACGGAGAGGCAGGGGGAGGAGGAGAGGACAGAATGAGAGAGGCCTATGGGAGAGAGGCAAGTGAGACGAGCGAGGAGGGGGGGGGGGGGGGGAGAGGGGGGGGGGGTGGGATGGGGGGGGGGGTGGGGGGTTGAATACATAATATAATGGGGAGTGGGGGGGGGGTTGGGGGAGGGGTGTGGGGATGGGTGTGGGGATGGGGGATATATACATACATATATATGGGTGTAGAGGGGGGGGTGGGGGGATGGGGGGTTGGACATGTAGTGAAAGGGGGAATATGGTATCTAGGGAAGAGGAGCAGGAGGCTATGGACAGGGAGGACCAGTGAGAGCAACAGTGGAGAAGACGGGGCAGTGAGAGACCAAATTGCGCTTTGGTGAGGGGGAGATGTTGGGATGTTTAGGGGGGGTGTATGTTGGGATGGGGTAGGTGGGGGATGGGGTATGGTGTGGATGGTTGGATGTGGTATCTAGGAGGTGTATGGTGGGGGGGGGGGGGGGGTTGGTGGGGGTTGGGATGTGTTGTGGGTCTTTTATTTTATTTGTGGTGGGGTGTTGGTGGGGTGGGGGGGGTTGGGTGGGGGGGGGGTGGGTGGTGTGGGGTGTGGTTGGTTTGTGTGAGGTGTATTTGTGTATTGTGTTGTGGGGGTGGGTGTATATGATGTAGGTGTGTAGGTATGGTTAGTTGATTTTGGATTTGAGGTGTGGTTGTGATGATTATAGGAAAGAAGTACTATATATGCTATTGGATGGTGTTGGTTGGTTTAGGGTTAGAGTATTAAGTTGTAGATGTGAAGAGATTGGAGGGGGGGGGAGAGTCAGATTGGTAGTATGGGGTGGGTGGGGTTGGGTGAGAGGAATTATATTATGTGGTGTGATGTGATAGTGTGGTATATTACAATTGAGAAGAGAGATGTGGTATTTTAATAAGCGTGAAGAGAATATTGAAAATGGGAATTGAAGTGTTTAGAAGAAAGTTAAATGTTGATTAAGTTGTTATAGATGTAGAAAAAGTATGAAGTCAAAATGATAGGTAGGATCATATAAATAAGAATGAAGAGTATGTTGAGAATAAATTATATAGGATGCAAGTGCGCGTCAATCTTGCTGCTGTCAAAACTGCCATCAAATGCACGCATAAGTGAGCACAAAGTGGCTATCCACGAGTCGTACAGTTTGAGCGCGTACAAAAGCCATTTTATGAAGCTATTTGGTGCTGAACGCGACCTTAATAATATGAGCCACGCCCTCCATGAGTTGGCTATGTCTGGACTACGTTATCTCGTATTCACTACTACTCTCATTCATAGGTTCGGTCAACTCGTAGTTGACTCGCAATGATGTGAATCAGACGTATTGTCTGGGAGATTGACACTTTTTAACAAGGACTATTTACTAGCTTCTTATTTTTCGTGTAGCATTTTAAGTCAATTTAGTTTATATGTTTTACATTGACTTTTATTGCATGCAGTTTAACTTATAACAGTTGCTTGCTAGTACATCTCGGCTCCTAAACGAAATCTATATTCAGATCAATCGCAACGTATCTATTAGTGAGAGCGCCCTATTACCATTACCATCTCAATTGCAGTACGGACAGACTGCGCTTCAGTCATACACCAAATAACACAGTCATGCCTCCAATACACGATTAACAGACAAACGATGCATAATATGTAAGAAACATTTAAAAACTTAAACTACTCACAACAAATTACAAACTTTAGAACTTTAAATAATACACAGATCGGGACGATCAAAGATCATCAATCTAGATCGCAGTGTATAGTTCATTAAAAAGGACTATAAAGATAAAAACAAGATGACCAAGAGTATAAAACATCATTCTGTGATCTGGTAGAGTAGCTGCAGCTAACTTCTACGACTATTGTTGTTGACAGCACTGGCGGACTTGTGGGGTCGTGATGCTTTGTGTTAATGAAGGATTATTCAAATGGGTGCTAGTGCATCTATAGGTAGACGTACTGCCTGCTCTCACATTCGAATCTACAGGAATGACGATCCAGACTCATAGCACGCTTTTCCCCTATCGATTTTCTAATAGGGGATTAAATCGGATATTAGTCTAGGTCAATGTAAGTGCACTAATGGGTTCGATAATTACTACATTCCAAGTGGTCCCTTTTCCTTCTTTTGGGATGATAAGATAATCGACAAAAAAATCTCGGAAAACTGCAGTCTTCCACAGTGTACTAGTACCGACGTCTGTGCACAAAGTCAGCTGTTAGTCCTTTCCTGTCATCCTACAGATCCACGGGTCGGCTAATTGTTCATATGGGGCACAAACATTGTTCTCATTAGGATGTAACCGTTGCGCTAGACCATGGAGTTAGAGACTTGATACGACGAAATAACAGTCTGCAATTGAAGTCTTTCATTCAGCTGATGAACAGGAAGCCCAGTGCAGAGACCTGATGTCAACGCGACTAAAGTGCGTGCGCTCATGTAACTTCCTAGTTCTGGTCAGGACTCGAGCTGCTGACATGTTGAATGTACTGCGAGCTGTTTAAAGACGTTTTTTTTAGAACTTTGGACAGACCATGTGCAGCAGTGCCTATCTGCTGATACCTCAACCGGGTGGGGGGGGGGGGCTGGAGACATATATTTAGTTCTGTGTCATTATATGTTAGTCCTCTCTAAGTCTGCCTTTTAGACACTGATCAGTTATTTTCTAATTTCTTAGCTCAATGTCTTACTTTAGGTGGTAAGACTCATAGCTGGCCTGATCTAGATTGATCATGATTATCTCTATGTGGCTTGCTCCGAAATCTTCAGAGTCAAGGAGTCGCAGTTATCAACTCACTAGATTTGATCCTAAGCCTGATTATGATAGAGTTTAGAGCGAGAGCCAAGTGAGAGGTGACAAATAACGCTCTCTCTTGTTTCTGGGTCCGAAACACAATTATTCTCAGTTTTGCTCGGATGTTTGTTGGAGAAGATTTATTCAATGCCAACATGCCATCATCATCGATATTTCGTGACACTAGTGAATGGAGAGCGAGTCTTCACTGAGGTTCGATGCATCTCCACTCTGCTGCAGAAGGTTTCACATAATTAGAACGCTGTAGTACAGCAGGACAAGACTAATTGTGTTATCTCTGAGACTCTTTATTATCTGTGACATCAGAATCTGGCACCTAGAGGAGCAAAATGTAAATATTTAATATACAGTAAGAGAGACACCAGGATTGATCCTCGCTTGGTGTGCACTCCGGCGAGTCAGGGCTTCTATATAGTGTGTCTGTGCGGATATCTTTGTTCTCTTCTCGATCGTCTCACATAGTAAATGTACTTTCTGTCTTGTCAAATAGGATCAATATATACCTAAGCAGTTAAGGAAGGCGGTAGCCAGCAAGACCCTTCTAAGGCCCAGCCTCAAGTCTCCTGACAACTCGTAGGATGCCATGATCTAACTAGTGTCGTCTAAAAGAATTACTACAATTAAATCTAACAGCAAACTAAACTGTGACTGCAGCACATTTTCCTGCAGTCTATTTGATTTCAGTTTGATTGTAGCATTTGTTCAACCATTTACTCAATTGCGTAGGTCTCATAGATCTGTTGGTGGAGGTCTAAACATCTGACTAGGATTACATATCTCATATGAGCGTTTATCGATTATTAAAATCTTCTGTACGTTTGAGTTTATAGCGCTAACACTTTTCTCTAGATACTATATTTCGCATGAAATGGCAGATTGTGATAATGTAGTCCAGCTTAATTTTATGGAGTGCCAGCGGACTGTCCAGACTCCGTACTATCTTTTTAGGAGGGGCGGGCGGAGTGCGGGAGACCGCGTTTCAAGCCACGGTGAATGAGTCGCGGGGGGTAAGGGCCGTGATTTTCGAAGAGATTGCATATTACCTACTTATGATGTAAGTGAGAAGGTAAAAGACTGCTCAGAACTGGAGTCTGTGAGAAAATTCTAGGAGGTAATGACGCCATCCAGCTGGGCCATTGCGGTGTGAGGGAACTCGAGACTAGTGATTCATCTCCTGACGAGTTCTACAATAGTCGTGTACTGTAAAGTGCGATCAGCAAAGCCTCACTCCGGCGTGTTGCGATCATTACTCGGAGGAGGCATCGCACGAATGGCGATTCTTTGATACCACATTGGACTATTGTCAGTTAAAGAGCTGAGGCAAAACCCATCTAAACCTTTAGATTTGGAAAGCACATGTATATACCTTAGATGGCATACTTAACAGGCGGATTCGTTCAATGCCCATTCTTAATACCGTTGAACAATACAGTAATGCGTTACTTAGATTGTCTCGCATACCAGCCTATCGATCATAGTATTCAGAAACGATACATTTACACTCGTTCTATAATACTAGTTCCCTGTTAAAATTGGCACAACGCATCTTGACGACCTCGTCAGTGGTCAACCTTCGTGAGAATTTGAGCTGATCGGCGTCACTATCCGGGCCTACGTTCCCTGGTAGCCTGAACGAGGTCTGACCATTTAGTCGGCATGGCGGCCTTTTTGCTGTTGGCGTAAAGGTTTTAACCCTTGTATCAGGAGTCAAGTTGTACTCCAGAACCATTCGAAACATAGTGCACGGTGACAGAATCAATTACACATCCATCTACAGTAGCACACACAACGTGTTTTCCGACAGCCTCGCCAATGATAACACGTTCGCCATAGTACATATCATTTATGTATCAGTAATCTTCTAACAACCAGATTCAGCTGGTGCGTTTACATCAAGACACATGTCAAAAAAATACACAGAAAATGATCAGACAGAGCAACACTGACCACATGTACATTATCTGAAATATTACGACCTCCCTTGTTAATGTCTGGTAGCCAAACACATGTTCAAAAAATACACAGAAATGATCCGTACGAGCAACATCAACTACATTAACTTTTGAAATATTCCCCCCTTTCGTGATAAGCAGGTCCAGTTGGGTCCTCTGCTATGGGTGGGCCACTCACAGCTGAGTGAGGCCCACTGATTCAAGTTATGGAACTCAGCTCTTTTGCGTATCTGTCCATTAACATTATCACACATGAATATTAAAATCGCCTAATAATGACCTAAACCATCCAAAATCTGTGCACACAACTGAAAGCAACACTCAGTGAAATGATCAGTGCAAACTATGGCATGCCTGTGGCGGCTATGTGATACACAACAATAATAAGAATGGAAGAAGATTTTCTTTTGTTCTATTATATAAAAGACAACCATACTCAAATGATGAAAATTTCCCAAGAGACACTCTATGGGAGACAATACGATCTTTAAAAACTGCTGCTATGCCCCCCCCCCCCATTTTATTTTCTCGTTGTTTCATGTTCAAACATTTGAAATTTGGTGGTGAGGTTCCTATTAAAAACTGCATCTCTCCTGTATTATGGTCAAGCCATGTTTCAGTCATAAACATAAAATCAAGATCATACGAACAGATTACAATTATTAATTAAAAATGATTTGTTGCACAGTGATCTGACATTAAGTAGAGTAAGGTTAAAATTAAATATCAGTGTCAGTGGGTTTAGTTGATTGATACAAAGAACTGGAAATTAGATTTCCAGAGTTGGACCGTCTAACGGCTGTCCTTCTTTTAAATTTGTGTTTATTCAGGTTTAAACACAACATTTCTGAGCTGGTGCTGAGGGACCACACA